TTTTTTTTTTTTTTTTTTTTTTTTTTTTTTTTTTTTTTTTTTTTTAAGCAAAGTTAATTTCAAATAGTTTATTTTGTTTAGATTTTAGTGGTATATTAAATTAATATTTAAAATAAAATAATGAAGATTGATTTGACGTAACTATGGGATGTGATAGGTTGGTAAAATTATGAGTAATAAATAATGAATTAAATGTGATGTAGTGTGTAAGTATGGTTGATTGATATTATCTTTCATTTTAAATGTCATTTTAGTATTATCAACTATTAACAAAATAAATGTCTGTTTTAAATATTTTATACACAATTTTTCATTATTACCCTCATCTAGCTAATAAATACACTACGTCTTTTCATATTCACTTTTCATCTTTTCTCAAAACTAGTTCAGATCTCGTGCGATGCACGGGGTGCACAAAATTAAGGTCATTTATCAAGTCTTATAATTATATAAATGATTAAAGAAAAATGTACGGGATATATATAGTACGTGACCTGTAATAGGCAAAAATGTGAACACGGATGATACACGAGATGCACAATTTTAAGGTCATTTATTAGTACAGAGCCGGTGCGATGCACGGGGTGCACAATTTTCTAGTATGTGTAATACAAATTCATACCGTATGCACGGGACAGAAGCACTAAATGAGTTATTTCCACAAATTTTGCCCGTTAAGTAGCTCATAAACACGTGTGCACAATTTGTAGCACGTACTATAAAATCAGAACAGATTTTCATACAATTAGATAATAAATAAAGCCTTTTTATTTTAGTAAAGATTTTACGTACTTTTTTTTACTCATCGGATGTTATTGGATTTTTTTTGTTAAACCGATTTTATGATATAATACAAATACAATTAGAGGATTGAACAAAATCAGAACAAATTTATATACAATTAGATGATAAGAAGGAATTAGATAAGGAAAAGAAGAAATTAGATAATGAATTTTGAATCTACCTTTTTTTAGTATAGATAGACTTTACGTACAAATTTTGACTTCACCGATTTTATGAGATTGGTTTTGACAAAATCAAAGACGAACACTGAATACTGTTTTTATTAACATTTACACTGTGTATTTAATGTTTTTTTTTTTGGCAAAATATTCTTTTTAAATGTGATATATAAATATTAAAAATACTTAAAATATTTTATAACATCTATAAAAGCATCTAAAATATTCTATATTATTCACAAATAATGTTTGAAGCTACCTAACTTTTTCTAAACTACCCGTAAGGAAAATATGTATAAAAATTCTTCATTTAACCTCCATATATGTATATATATATAGAGAGAGAGAGAGAGCAAATGTGTAAAAAAATTTATACAAATAATATCTAAAAGTATCTAAAATATTAGTAATTAGACAGGTGAAATTTAGATTTGTGATTTTTTGACTCGTGGAGATGGAATTGTATAAGCTGGGTTATGAATTTTTTCTTAAACTCATCCATATCTATGCGATGAGTTTTTTAAGTTGGGTATATAGATCTAAAATTGTAAAAAAAAAAAATCATAAATCATTTGATTTGGTATTTTTGGAGAGCTCATTAATTTAAAAGTGTAAAATAAATAAATAAAAAAAAATACAACTGAAAAAGGTTATAACCAATTGTATGGAGAATTAAACTAAATCCAATTTTGTAGGATGCATTAAATATTGATTAAATTTTATATGTAAAATAAAATAAAAGATAACTGAAATGGTTTTACGCGTTGCAATATTTTACATTTAAAAAAATTAAAAAATCTTCTTTTACGTATTGCATACCAATATTTTAGGAAATAGATAGATATTCCTAAATTAATATTGCATACTCAATATTTTTGGAACTAATTAAATGCTAATTTTATTTGCATACCAAAAATATTAGATGCATTAATTAAATGCTTGATAAAAATAGCAAATCATTAATTAGGGTTGACTATTCTACATACTACATTTAGGAAATAGTATAACTTTTAATATAAGTATAGATATTCATCTCTATCCTCATTAATGAGAGTTATTATTGGCAAAAAAATATTCTTAATAACTGTGCAACTTCTCAAAACTAGACTTATGAATCATCAATTATAAAAAGATACAGGAAAATACAACTGTCAGGACCATGACAATAAATAATGTTCGTTTAATATTTTGATTTGTGAAAACAATCAAGTGAACTGCAAGGAATAAAGCCATTTCACAACACAAGAAATGCATAGTTGCATACATAAACTACAAGTACATATCACACTCAGCTGGTATTTGATCCATAATTTAACACTAAACCACCAAACAACAATCAATAATAACAGTATAATATACATGGAACCACATGTGTGTGGGATTTGGAATGGTTTATTACAAATTTTTTTAATAAACAGAGGCATAAGACAACAACAAGACCAACAAAACATATCTTCCAAATCATTTTCCCAGTAAACATCCATCTTTCTTTCTCTTCCAATTCCCCTTCCTATTACTTGCCCACTTCATATATGCAAAATTCAAGCAAAGCAGCCGAATGATCAAAAAAAGCACATGTGCTTTCTTACGGGTGCTGTTGGCACATTTCACAAACGGTGGATGAGCTAACATTGGCGTACGTGCAGTATTCACAAGACCAATGGCCTGAATCATCTATATTCCGAGAACTGCTCGACTTTGAAGCTGTACCTTTCCCCTTATTATTATTACCTTTACCTTTACTACTGCCACTTGCTAGATTTTTCGAGCTACCACTTGCTTGATTGCGCGGGCCACCGGAGTCCACATCGGACAAACCATTTTCCAATGCTCGAACGAGGTTCTCAAAGTAATTCTTAGTCACACTGCAGTCAATAACGTAAAACAATCGGGGATTTTTTTTTTTTATTCCACGAAGGCAATTCCAATCGTATTTTGATATTACCAAAGAATACCAATCCAAATGGCACTTCCGCTATCTTTGCTAAAATTATAATGAAGAACATTATTTTTACATAATTACATCTTCATGTCCTTATCCACTCACCCTCCAAATTTTATCATCAATTATTTGAAATGAAAAAATTTAATTATGATATGATTGTAGAATAGAAGAAGAGTGTCAATTGGGAGTTACCTAGTCAATCCTGCTAACTTTGTTCGGAACTCGTTGAACTCTTTTGAAGGACCTTGAGAGTTGAGGTAAACCTGAAATTCCTTCTCCGCACATTGGTGAAGTCGTTCCAAACCCGACTCAGCCTCACCTAAAAGATACCAAAATAAAACTGAAAAAAAAAAAGGAAGAGAAAAATAATACATAAACTCCAGATTTGGAGAATTGTTTACCTTGTAGATATTCAAAAAACTGTTTTTTAGCATGTTCATGTTCAGGTAGATAATATCCATAAGCATATGTCCACTTCAAAACTCGTCGACATTCAACAATCTGAAAAAGATAAATGATAAGCACTTGAAAAAGAAAAAAATAATGCTTACTTTATTTGAAGAGATTACAAAATAAAAGCAGTCCCACACCAAGTGGCTACTGTAACTTGTACACTAGGGACCACTTTATTGATAACAATATATGCATGGCGGGGTAATCTGCAAGGTGTAAAATATATGGAGCATCCAGCATGAAACACTAAACGTAGAGATTGTAAAGAAACAAATTGCTCACAATAGCTAAACATTCTCAAAGCAGAATAAATATGCAAAGTTTCCAGATAAATTAAGGAAAACTCTGATCTGCTCTAACAACTTGCAGGATGCTACCTGTTAACCATGTGAACGGTACACTATTTAACAGATAAAAAAAAAAGAATTCTACGTCATTTGACCGCCTTGTGGCTTCTGGGGCTAAACAAGTCTAGGCATGCCAATGCCTACTGCAGTTTTCAACTGACAAGTTTTCTATTCATACTGCCGGTAAAACACACTTCCAATTATTAGCAAAAGATCAATAACTGAATGAAAAACTATCTACCATACAAAGAGAAGTATAACTTAAAATATACCTGTAGCCAAGCCTCTATAATGAACTTAAGCTGAGACTCTGGCTGGCACTGTATATCACTTAGCTTTTCCAGCTGCACAATAACATTATTTTCAATGAACTTATAGGTCTCACAATAATCCACTACAATTTAAAAATCACATGAAGTTAATCATCATTCACAGAAATAACGCAAAGGTTAAGTGCACAGCTACCACCACAACCACATTGAAAGATAAGTGAACTTGAGGAAGTTCCTTACATGTACTGTTTGCATTTGATGTAGATTCTCAATTGCCCGTTGCCTAGACTGCAGAAAGTGAAAATAGAGATCAACTTACGTGATGCAAAAGGGACAAAAGGCCACTGACTTTCAACAAAAACAATAAAAAAAATAAATAAACAAAAAAAAATAAATAAATAAATAAATCCTAAGAGTAGGAAATGTGGATGTGTATTACAATCGAATTAAGTAATACACATAAATTAACCACATGAACGACTCTCTCAGATATATTAGCAACCGAAATATGGACAACAATTATTTTTTTGCTCGAGAGAATTATTAACGACAAGTGCGCACCAACTATAAAGCAGAAGTAGAATATATCATTCCACAAAATAAGTTCTGACCAACGCACTTGCGAGATCTAGATCTAATAATCAGCCAAATCACATGTTTCATCAAATAGTCGGTACTTACAGACTGGTTTGTAGCCCATCTTTCATAGTAATGTGTATATCTTTCTAAAGAATTTTTCGCCATCTCTCTTCGCTTTTCAGCATCATCATACTGTAAAAACACATCAAGGTAAGTCTAGAGATACACTTGTGATACTTCAACTATTAGGCAAACATGGTAATCTTACAGCTCCTTCTTGTTTGGCAGCTTCGTAACGATTGCATGCATAGAATCCACCAGTTCTTTCACCATGTTCTGACCATGCACCGAGACACAGCCTGCAAGTCCAATAAAATGATGGCGGTCAAAAAATCTAGCACCTTTCCAGAAACTATGGATCATGCAGAAACCATTATTCTTCACAAACATTCACCTCTCTGTATTTGACTTCAGGATCATTTTAGAAAGCAAAAAGAAAAAAAAAATAAAAAAAAAATAAAAAAAAAAATAATAATAATAATAATAATAATATCAACAACAACAAGAAGGACGACGGCAGTAACTTATAAAGAAATGTGCAATGGATAGTCATCACTGAAAATAGAAGGTCATACCAGCAAAACTCAAATTTACACGGTGGTGTGCATGTAATATGCATGCAACCCTGATTCTTCTCAATCGGCCTTTTGCACTTAGGACAAGGTTTTGAATTTGCCAATATCCTTGTATAACAGAAGATACATTATATCAGAATATATAGTTGTGGAAAAGAGTAACCCTTCGGAAATATATTAGTTCATCTAGTATATGATCATACAAAGAACATTTACACCAGATAAATCATTCAAGTGTCAGAGTGAAAGAACTAATACAAATAAACCGCAGTCCTTGGTTCGGAGAAGAACGAGAGTTTTTCTCTTCCTGAAATCAACTAGCTTACCAATTCATATTTTCAGATTCAGCGCTGTTCTTCAGAACCCATTTAGACACGGTTCCACAGTCAACTGGGCGATGGGCTTCCTCAACACACTGTGAGGTGGTTCCACTAATAGTTAATAAAATTTAAGGCACGATAGAAAATTCTAAATTTTAACTTTTAAGATAGGAGGAAGCAGTGAAACTTACATTCCAACAAAAAATGTAGGAGCAACGGCAACTGACATCATAGTTTCCACTACCAACAACAAAGTCCACAGCATAGTCACAGCCAGGTGCTGGGCACCACTTTGTCTGGCAATAAAAGTGAAATGGAATAAACCCTACTGCAAGCTACTATAATAATGATACTGAAAATGCTTTGATTTTAACTTCATGCTGATAAAGACCATGCAGGCCAGTCATCCCACATTAATTTCAGAGAACAAAGAAGGAAAATTGATAAGAAACAAAAAAAGAAAAAAAAAGGAATTTACATGTGTGTCTATTCTTTCGAATCACCAGTGTAAAACTTTGGAACTCCTCATATACGATAGCTACTCTCCTTCAAGTATGGTTACGAAGATGCAAATTAAGAGCAAACTTAAATTTATTATACTTTTTCTACAACAGAGGCAATGTATTCTGTCTCAAGGATGCCATATAATTGCAAAAACTCATATACCTTCCTATTATCCTCAACAAATGATCTTAAAAAGTAGCGGTTATACTTCTCTCTGTCATCATATGAAGCTAACTGATTCACCATGTCCTGGCCAACAGCTGCACAACATGATGGATCAGGACAGCGCAACATTAAGCATCCAGGCCCATCACTAATGGCTGTGCCAACATATCCTGCAGAATTGAGGTAGGCACTCTGATGTACATTTGGAATTTCAGACCATTACCAATCCCACTACCCCAGCCAAATAACAGAATATAAAATAGTATAGAACTGTTAGCAAGTTTAAGGATACAAACCTTGCCAACATATCACACAGAATGGATGACCACAGGCAGCAGCACTCATCCTATCCCGAGGGTATGTTTCAAAGCAGATCCCACAAGTTAGCTGCAGAGAGAGAAGACAATGAAATCACATGGTATATGAGCAAGTAAGAAGAATTCTATATGAAAATGATTATAACATTCCATAACAGTACAAACTACAAGGGGAAACTTTAGCTGGAGAGAGAGAAAACAATTAAATCACATCGTATATGAGCAAGTAAGAAGAATTCTATATAAAAATGATCATAACATTCCATAACAGTAGAAACTACAAGGGAAAACGTAATGCAACATTATATTTCATAATCACCTCTTTAGCATCAGGAAGGGTAATGTGCTTATCCAATAAACCAACAGTCTTACGAACATTTTCTTCATCTGCAAACCATTCATCATTCACTTTACTAACACTCCTGTGAGCCAAGAACATATGAAAGAATTCTTCAGGGAATAAGTAACCAACCTTCATAAATAATCATTAAACACTTGATATTTCAGCATATTTTTATTTAATTTCAAATCACCATTTTCGCTCCATACATAGAAGAGACCTTTCTACAGTCATCTTGTGAAGCACAACCTATATAAAGTTATTACAATTCAGTGGAAAAAAAGCCAGTAAGAAACAATTACCAGCTATAGTGGCGAAGCAAAATGCCAGCAGCTACCCTAGAAATTGAGAGGATTGTAGATATTTTTGTAATGCTTTCCTCTTGACATTGCCGAATATCCTCTTCGTTTAAAATAGTGTAGTTCTGGAAGAAAAGAGTCAACAACCATCCATTATAACTTAAATCGTTCGAATTCAAAATATAATTAAAGCAGCGCCATAAATAAAGTCTAGTAAGTGCAAGAATTTTTGTACACTTTGTATTTCTCACAAGAATTAAGATAAATGCAGGTGAAAAATAAGAGTAAACTCTCACAAAAATTAAGATAAATGCAGGTGAAAAATAAGAGTAAATTAAGTAATATATATCTCAAATTTAATAACAAATATGAATGATAGACAACCCCCTTAAAGAAAAGAAGGAAGAAAGGGAGAAAGAAGGAAGACTTCGAGGAACTAACAATGCCCCTTCAAAGAATAAAAAGAACCTCAACATTCAACTCAATCTTTCTCCACATTAATCATCTTCAATAATGAACCAAAACTACTAGACAACCTAGTACCTACCATTCCCACATCATATAAGTGTTGAAAGGAAGAACTAGAACATGATAGGGTATTGAATATTGACCTCTAGAGGGCAAAATACTAACCAACAGATAGAAAAGAATCACAAAGTAAAAACACTCCTCAATATAGAACTGAACTGCGTTCAGTCACTCGACGCAAGCACACATTTTGGTTTATGCATGTCCCAAATAATTAAAGAGAATGTGTGAACTTCATAATTGAAAATCTAACATTTTCGCAAGTAAATTCGAATTTCATTACTAACACCTAACTATTTCACCACGAGAAAAATCCATATAACCGGTATCGTCAGAACATCCCTAGAATCAGTTATAGAAAACCCCTCTTGAAGCAAAAGTGTTCNNNAAAAAAAAAAAAAAAAGATCTTTAAATGCTACAACCTGCCTATTAACAATCAAGCTCAGCAACAAACACGACGACACAATTAATTACACTTCCACACCCAAATCCACCACGAGAAAATCCATATAACTGGCACCCTCAGAACATCCCTAGAATCAGTTATAGAAAACCCCTCTTGAAGCAAAAATGTTCACCAAAAAAAAAAAGATCTTTAAATGCTACAACCTGCCTGTTAACAATCAAGCTCAGCAACAAACACGACGACACAATTAACATATCCAAATCCACGAGGCTACGACATAACGATTTAGCTCGATCAATAAAATGAAAATCAGCATCTAACTAAAATTGTCATCATATTGATAGAAATGATTGATATGACCTGCGATCGATGATGATAGTGCAGATTGTGTGAGGAGGAGAGATCATCGGAATCGTCTGAGTCGTGGTCCATGAACCCGTCGTAGTCCATAACGATGCCATTGGAGTCTGAATCATCATCGCCATAGATTTCGTCGTCGTCGTTGGAATCTTCCATCATCGCCGCCGTCATCTCGTCCTCCGATTCCATCTCTTTTCCTCTCTCCCCCACTAAATGATAGTGATATTGAAAATCAAGCAAAATGAGCAGAAATTTTTGACAAAACTTGCGTGTATGAAAATATTCAGAGAAAGCTAAGAAGATTCAGGTGAAGAGAATAGATGGCAAATTGGCATAGGAAGAAAACAGGTACGAATTTTGTTTCGCGATGTACAATATAGTTATGCAGGTCAATTTTAATTTTATTTTTGGGCCTCGCCGAAAGTGGATTCGGTAAAATTTCTACTAAATTCCCAATTTCTTTTTCAATTTCCATTGCAATTCCTTTTTTTTTTTTTATTATTATGCATTTTCGTATCACATTTTATTCCACTTAACTCTCTAAGAGCATCTTTAAATGGCTCTCTTTACCCAACAGAAACGGCATGGTTGGAGGAAATTCATCTGCAACGGGCTCTCTATATGTATAGGAAACGACACCGATATTTTTGTGGAATGGTTGGCACACCGTTCCACTGTTCATCCGCTTGAATCTTTTTTTTTAGTTGAAGTTGAATTGTATTTTGGGGCCATTTAGATGTATGTGGTTGGTCCTTTTTTTAACTACAATTGAGTTGAATGAGTTAATTAGTTTTATGTGTTAAATTAATAGGAATATTTTATAAACATTTAAGCTTAATTATTGTAATTAATATTGTAGAATTTTAAGTAGTGCATTTCAAATTGAATACTTTATTAATCAATATAATAGAATATTAATTAGTATTTAAATTTACTTAATAAATATTACAAACAAACTAAGTTAAAATTACAAAATAAGGATAAACATTCAACTCATTTAAAATTAATGGTTCAAACAATAATATTAAAATTACAAAATATTGATAAACTAAAATAATCCATCATTAAAGCTCACGCATACTTTAACGAGGATAATTGATATAGAAAATAAAAACGAAAAATGTTTTATAAAATAGACGATTTGATAGACTTAATTGTCACCATAATAATCTTTCAAATTTATTCCGTGATGCCCGATGTCGTCGGGCAATCCAAAGTGACATGTGTTAAGTGATGCTGGTGTTACTTGAGATTGTTGTTACTTAATTTCTCTTTCTTGTAAAATTTACATTTGTTTTGTTCTCAATGTCGACATATCATGAGATTCGTAAGGGAATTCAAACTATCATCAAAATTATATCTTCATCTCTCATTTTCTGCAAATCAAGTTGTTTCTGCAATTGATATTCAACATTTTGGCGTTCTTCGGCCTTCTACAACAAATCAACAATAGTTTCGCTTTTAGCATTCAGAGTATTAAAATATTGGAAAAATTGGTCTTCGTTTTCTTTTTCAAGATTGTTTTCTCCCTCTCATTGGACGTGGGGAGGATGTTCCACCAACACCATTGTTGCTTTGTTGAGAATTAAAAGACGACAGTCCCATAGACTCTGGTGTCGGCTGTCCATCATATGGAACGTCTAACTCGGAAAAGTCGTTGAGTGTATCGAAATCCCGACGATGAGATCATGGTTGGGATACATTATCATCAAATTTTTCAAACTCATAATTATCGGAACACATGCTGGAACTCGAAGCCTACTTTATATTTTGGGTCTTGTTAACAATCATTCAACTTGCTCAATCTACAAACAAAGTAAAAAATATGTAATTGTATGTATGACCATAAAACAAGCAAATAATATGAACCGAGATTGAACTTAAAACAAAATACTCACCCTATCTTCGATTTGTGTCCCACTAGAATTACAATATTCGATTTGCTTCAAGCATCCATTAAACCTATGGCAATGAGTTCCATTAGGTTGTATCGAGAGTCGAGAGACTCTATAGAGCATTCTGGTAAATCATTGTGTTTTTTGGAGTTGTATTCATCATAATTTTTTTTTTTTTTTTTTTTTCTAAAAAGTTGAAGAACTTTGGTCATTTGATGATACCGAACATTTACAATTAAGGCATCTTCCAATTTGGAATATTTTAGCCCCTGTGAAGAAGACATTTAAAAAAAAAAATAAATTAAGATATTCAAGACGAGTGGCGTATGAACAATAAGACTACAATGAAAGAAGAAATGAGTAATGTGTGTAATTTAGAATGAAATGAGTTCTATAAAGAGAAAAACATATTTTGAAAAGCTAATTAAATATCTAATTTTACATTCTCCCTCGTAGGAGTGCGTAAGTCTCTCTCCTTAAGAGTGTTCTTTCTTCTTGTGAGATTATGGCTTCTTCTAAGTTTTTTTGTGGTTGCATCTTTGGTTCTTGTCTCTCTTTGGTGTTTCTATGGTCTTTTTTTCTTTTGGTTGGAAATTGGTTAAAGGTTGAGAAAATGGATAACATACGTGATTCAGAGCAAGTTACAAATTGGGAAGTTTGTCCTTTCGGAGAAAGAAAACGTTAGGGGTTACACTTGAAAAGGAAGACGTAGCTTTTAGCGAGGAGGAGTGTAATCGAAGTTTATTTGGACGGATTTTTTGAACAAAAAAAGCGAATTTTGTTAGGATAAGGAGAACGTTACATCATGTATGGCAACTTGAAGATTCCTTCTTGGAGTGGATTGCAAGCATCAGCGACTGTACAGTCGGTCGATCGAAAGACGGTTGTGCCGATATCGACATCCCCGACGATATTTTTCTACACTCATAAGGGAGTTTTATTGCTACTACTGTTGAGGATACCTACCCGATGTTCAGGCGTTCAAGCGACAATTATCTAAAAGACAGAGCCATACTCGCTCCCACAGTTGATGTGGTTGAGTGCGTTAACGAGTACATGAGACACTGAACTCATCAAAAGGGAAGGACTTATTTGAGTTAAGAAACCTCGTGCAAGTCAGATGTTGAATATGATTCTCTTCATGATCTTCACACTCTTGAATTTCTCATTATGATCAAGTGCTAAGGACTTCCCAATCATAAACTGCACTTGAAGGTCGGCACTCTAGTGATGCTTCTCAACAACATTGATCACTCCAAGGAGTTGTGCACAGTACTGTTCATCAAAACCAATTGTCTATATCTTTTTATCTTTGTACAAATTTGAGTGATATATTTTTGTTTTTTGAATTTGGATGCCAACAGGTACACGGTTAGTTATCTCTAAGCTCAACAAACATATCTTTAAATGCAGGATTTTAATTGGAGCCAAAGCTTGTGACAAGGTTCTTATTCCTAGGCTCACGGTCATGCCATCCGATTTGAGGGTACCGTTCAAGTTTCAGCGCAGACAGTTTTCGCTCATGTTTCAAGACCAGTCACTTTTCCACGTTGACTTACTTCTGAAAAACCCTGTGTATTCAGTCATTCACAGTTGTATGTGGCTCTATCTAGATTTACAAATCAGAGGAGTTTGAAGATAATGATTTGAAGAAATCAAGATTGTAATAGAAAAACCACAAAAGTTGTTGTTCGTTCCATTATTGTCATGTTTTTCTTGTTTATTTTATATTTATTTCTCCCCGTTTTAGGTATTTTCTTAGGACTCTTCGGTCTTTATAGTCGTTTCTCGTGTTTTAGTTTTATTTTAGGTTGTATAGTATTTTCGTTGCTTTTTTTTCTTCATTTTTTCTCGTGTTTTTGCGTTTGTTCGGTTGTGGTGGTTTTCAGGATTCAGACAACAAAAGGTACTCATGTCCGGTTCCTAGGATCCCAGGTCGGTTCGTACGACCAATGCATGCGAGGATAAAGTTCCCAGCGTGAGCAGTGCTCGAGCGGTGTAGCCGAGCACGCGAACAGTAGAAGAAAGGGCAGATTTTTAGACAAATAGAGCCTTAGCACCGCTAAGGCCCCTTTGGATAGCGGCGCTTTGGGCAGTCCAGCGGGCAAAGCCGAGCAGCTAAGAAGCCTTAGCGGCGCTAACACCTTAGAGCCGCTAAGGTCTATTTTAAAACGGCCGCGTTTTTCTTGGATTTCATATGGGGGGAGGATTATTAGATCGAGGAGGGGATTAGTTTTTCATCATTCAGACTTCGTTATTCATTTTCTATCATCACAAAAACAACTTTTCTCTTAGATTTTATCTCGGATTGGATTTGGAGATTAAAGAACTCATTTTCTAACTTTCGGATTCGGTTTTCTCGTTGTTCTTTCGACATTGGATTTGGTATTAATCGTAAGCTTTTCTTTTCATCTTATACATGAATGCGATGGCTGGTTTGATCGAATATTCTTGTATTGAGATTGCAATGAGTGGCTAATTCCATAAGTTAGGTATAGGGGATATTTGTTTCAGTTCGTTTCGATTACGTGTTTGATAATTGCTCTACCTATGCGAGTTGATCTCATTTTAGGGTTAGTTGATTGATCCCCCATCTAACCTAATCAATCGACATTTAGAACCAAAAGAGGAGACGTCGGTCGAATTAGGCTCGTTTGGAATAGACTTGTTCGTTATGGTATTGTCTATGTGTTGTTGGATTTGATGAGTTGCTCGTTTACGTTCACCTTCTTGTTACGAGGAGTTATTAAAGGTGAACCTCCATTCGAGTAGACAATTCAAACCCTTTAACCGAGCAATTGATTGCCCGGTAATTGAGTCACGAACCGAAAACGATTGTCCCCGACTCCCTAACTCATTTATAATCAAGTTAATTCGTTTGCTTTTGAATTTTCGTATTGCTCTGCTTTAAAATTCGTAGCTGATAATTGAACCCCAAACAATTGAATTAGAGTGTTTAAGAATTTCTTTTCTCTTTTCTTGTGATAGAATATCCGTACAAATAATTCGGCTAACCTTCCATGAAAGACGACCCGGCGTTCGAATCTTTTGATTTGACTCCAGTAAAAATATTTACAACAGTTGCATATAAAATAAATACTTAATAATATCTAGATTTTATTTCTTAATTCTTCCAATAATTATGTTATGATTATTTTTAAAATTAATTTTTCCTTCGTCATGTATCTTTCTTTTACATGCACCACGGGTCAAAAACTAGTATAACTATAAATACAAAACTTTAATACCAACCACCTAGAGGTGACCAACTGGCGGGCCATGAATCGGCCCGGCCCAGCCCGCCGGGTTGGCAGGCCTCAATATTATGGCTCGTGACCAGCCCGAAAAAACCTATGGGCCGATTCATAGAATCGGCTCGGAGCCGCCGGTTCATCGACCCGACGGGACTCGGACGGTTCCGATCCGGTACGGCCCATAAAAAAACCGAAAAAAAAACAACGTGACCCGTGACCCGACCCGGCTCGACGGATCAAAAACCAAAAGTTTATGAACCGGAACTGAACCGCAACCCTACGGTTCCGGTTCAAGAAATCGGCCCTATTAGGAGGACGGTTCCAGGCCGGTTGGGGCCTGGCCGGAACCGGTTCACGGGCCAGTTCAGCCCGTGGATACCTCTACCAACCACCTCATGTGGCACATCGTGGCATCGTACAGTGTTGACAAGAACATCTAAATTAGCAGGAAACCTAGGAATCATCGCCCTCCCCAAAGGTTAAAAACAATCCTAGCCAGCAAAGCTATGGGCGTTTGTTGAATTGAAAGCCCATCAAAAAAATCTTTTTGCCCTTTTCTATTTGCTTGATTATTCTATCTTCTTCTGTTCCTCCTTTCTCTCATTTCAAGCTGCTCTTAACCTTTGAATTACATACATTCCTCGATCAAAATCAACAACGTTAAAAAATTCTGAAATCCTCAGAGGCTAATCTTTGACGTTCCCAACAAATTGGAGAAAATGGCTCTTAAAATTGGCATTTATCCCCACAAGATGTCCTCTTTTCCAGGTTATCAGCTCAGATCTCACAAAGTTTCCATGGCTTCAACTATGCATTCTCCATCAATGTAAGCTTTCTATTGTCTTTTTTTTTTTGGTTTTTTTTTTCAGCGATTTTTCCTTGAATTCGGCCATTTTAGTGTTATAAATATAAATAACTTTTCTTTTTTTTTTAAACAAATTGCATGCTCGTAATGTGTTAGTGGTTATGAAATTTGAAGTTCTTATTTCTTGTATTTTTAACTCCTCAAAATTTATTGTTAGAAAGTTATTCAAAGATTACTCATTTTTTTCTGTTTCAGTTATTTCATTTCCTAATTCATTGTTTAGTGCTGAGTATTTGTCATCTGCTTTGTGAAAATATATAAAATTATGTTCTAATTGATGAGGCTTTGTAAAAATTTATAAACTATGTCCTAATTGATGAGGTCTGAGTTTTTCTATTTGTTTCCTGAATTGTCCTCACTTCATTCAGGCATACATTTCTTTTGGCTGATTTTATTCGTTCGTCTTGATTTTAGTCATTATTTTTACGATCCATCTTCATATGTATGTATTTTTGTCAATGTACATATCTATATGTGTAGTGTTTGAAAAGCTGGCTTGTACTGTTCTTGGTTTTCTGGGGTCTTAATTGGCCATCATGTTACTTTAAGCATTAATGTGTTTGATTTTTATACGTGTGTTTGTTTCTATTTCAAAAAATACAACTACGAACTCTAGATATGTTTGCTGAAATTCAAGTAAAGGAAAAAAGGTGCGGAGTTGAACATTTAACAGCTCCGAGTTATTACATTTATTGTCTAACTCGATTTTTTTGAAATGGTTGACGTATCAAACCGATTCGAAGCAGCTTTCCCCGTTTTAGGTTCTTAAGTCGTGATTGCAATGTACGATTGCAATAATACATATGTGCTGTGTTTCTTTCCTTCTCTTCTTTTACTAATTAGTCTACTTTGATTGATAAAAACTAGGTGGAATAGGTGATGTAATAGGTGCCTAGAATTTCATGTACTTGTTTGTGAATTAAATGAGTTTGGTCTGAACCATTGTATCTATGCAGAGTTTTTAATAGCTTTAGCATAATTTGAACCGAAATTCTTAACCACCTCTGTTTTTATTGTACAAAGTTTGCCTTTGGTGGTTATTTAATTGGTTTCTCCTTCCATAAACACAAGTTAGATTCTTTGTCATCTTCCCACCAAACTTAATTTGGAGATTACTGAAGGTGTCCTTGCAAAATAAATAATTGTTATGTGTTGCTTAAATGCAGGGAATTGGGGAATTCCAAGAAGCCATTCACCCCTCCCCGGGAGGTGAACACCCAGATCACCCACCCCCTGGCCCCGGAGAAGCGTGAGATCTTCACCTCCCTCCACAAGTGGGCCGAGGACAACATCCTCGTACTTTTGAAGCCCGTCGAGAAATGCTGGCAACCCAATGACTTCCTCCCAGATTCTTCCTCCGATGGGTTCGAGGAACAGGTCCGGGATCTTCGGGACAGAGCCCGTAGCCTCCCGGATGATTATTTTGTCGTTTTGGTGGGGGACATGATCACGGAGGAGGCCCTACCCACATACCAGACGATGCTCAACACGCTGGATGGGGTCCGGGACGAGACTGGGGCGAGCCTCACCCCTTGGGCCGTGTGGACCCGAGCATGGACTGCCGAGGAGAACAGGCACGGCGATTTGCTCAACAAGTACCTTTATCTCACTGGCCGTGTCGACTTGAAGGAGATCGAGAAGACAATTCAGTATCTCATTGGGTCAGGGATGGTAAGACAATTCAATTCAGCAGTTGTTTATTATTTTGAATAACGATTATCAAATGAGTACAATCCAGTATCTTCATTGGGTCATGGATGTTAAGACAATTTAGTAGTCGTATTAACTAATTATTATTTTAAATAACGACTATCTCAAATGAGTACAATTCAGTATCTTCATTGGTTCAGGGCTCAGGGATGGTAAGACAATTTAGTAGTTGTATCAACTAATTACTATTTTACATAACAATTATTATCAAATGAGTACAATTCAGTATCTCATTCATTCTGGTTAGGACCCGCGCACGGACAATAACCCGTACCTGGGCTTCATTTACACGTCCTTCCAAGAGCGAGCCACCTTCATCTCGCATGGGAACACAGCCAGGCTGGCCAAGGAGCATGGGGACCTCAAGCTGGCCCAGATCTGCGGGATAATAGCGGCTGACGAGAAGCGGCATGAGACGGCCTACACGAAGATTGTTGAGAAGCTGTTTGAGATCGACCCGGACGGCACGGTTCTGGCACTAGCCGACATGATGAAGAAGAAGATTTCAATGCCGGCCCACCTTATGTATGATGGGAAGGATGACACTTTGTTCGACCATTTTGCTTCGGTGGCACAGAGGCTTGGAGTTTACACGGCTAAGGACTATGCTGACATACTTGAGTTCTTGGTGGGGCGGTGGGAGGTGGACAAGTTGACGGGCCTGTCTGGGGAGGGGCGCAAGGCGCAGGAGTATGTGTGTGGGCTGACTCCAAGGATCAGGAGGCTGGAAGAGCGGGCCAGGGCCCGGGCCAAGGAGGGGGAGCTCGTGCCTTTCAGCTGGGTGTTTGGGAGGGAGGTTAGGATTTGATATGGATGATATTGATTGTGGGTTTGGTGGAGGTTTGTTGTGGTGGATTGAAATCTTGGGAGTACTTTTTTTTTTTTTTTT